AATAACATAATTATCCAAACAGCTAGTTTAGACGGAAAACGGATATAGGTTGTGAGGTGAGATCGCTTTGCCATTGTCACGTGGGTTTTGAAAGTTCAACACATAGCAGTGGTGGCCGCTTGCGCATGCCGAAAATCACGTGACTTCCAATCTAGTGTTTTTTATATCTTTGGTTAGACCTATAGCTCACATGACTTTTTGCGTAGGCGCGCGCAAACATTTCCGTTAAATGTGTGCGGTTTTTATTGAATAATTTTGCATTTGTGTCATATATTTACACCAAATGAGACTCCTAATTTTAGGTTATAAAGATCTATCGGTGTACCAAATTTGAAAAAGACCCATAAAAGGTAAGTATATTTTCCTATCAAATAAAGTTTCCGTACTTTTGGTACGAAAAAAAAAGAAGAAGGATGAAACTCAATCAGAATTGGAGATTTTATATCTCAGATACTTTTTAATGGATTGCTTTGAATTTTGGAATGTGAAGTAAGAGTCTAGTAGAGCACATCTACTGAAAATAAGTGATAATTTGGATTACCACAGTCCGAGTTACTAAAGGTGGAAAATCGCTAAACTGTTACTCCTTTTAAAGATACAGTTGTTTTAATTAACCGAAACGTGAGATCTTGACAAGAGTCTTGTACCGTAGTTTCTGTTCCGAAAAGCTCCGTCGTAAGATTGCCAAGTCCAAAACACACACCTCTCCTCTCTAAGTGGTATGTTTTCTTATGGAATAACATGAACACCTCCTTCATTTTGTAGCTGTTTGAGGTATTTGACGGCTTAACGGTAGGTATGACTGGAAGCCTTATCTTAGTGAACCCATACCATGTTGACCTCGTTGATTATGTTGCATAATGTTGCCTGGGGCACATGGACAAGTATTGCTACTGACGTATGTGTTCGTGGGTTCTCACTTAGAAGACGGCCGCACTTGCATATCATGGCTGAGGTCCCAAAGGTAATTCATGTTCCTTTTTCTTACGTATAATAAATATCTCCACCCTGTCTTTGACATCATAACCCCCCGATCTGAATATATTGTTACGTCACCGTTGTTAATTGATTTTCCGTAACTTCGTACCGACGAAACTTAAGCGACACAAGTCTTTACTTAATAAAACTGGTTTATTCTTTCCGAATATAACTTAACCGATACACTCAACTCTAAACAAACGCTATAGCAACGAACGTCAATAATACTCTGACCGCAGATCAATTACTCACTATCCACACACACATTACCTCCCCTCTTTTATATACCAGCGTACCCTATTTCTAGTAAGAACTTGAACATTCGCCAAAGTACATGATAGTTCTAGAAACGTAACGTCACGGTGGTCATGTGACTCGCTGACGCAACACTGCCCCTCCTTAATATTGTTCGTCCCGAACAATAACCACATATGATAAACCAATAACAATAACTTAATTAAAATGTACAGAATTACAAACACAAAATTACAATTAAACAAATTCTCTTAATTTTACGTGACGTATCTTATTCCGTACTGGTCTCCGTCTTGTTGGCTTCTGCTTCACGTGGGGTTCATCTACTTCATCAGGAAATGTCCTATCATCGGTAACAGCCACATCAGTGGTAGTAACTTCACCAAGAGCTTCACCGTTTCCCTTCTCAAAACTGAGTAGCGTTTCTTCTTCGACGGTGGCTTCTTCAGGTGGCACATCTTCAGCAGCATCATTTGTTCTGTTGTCCACTTTGTCCCAACTGAAATGTCCTGGACCGTGATAACGCCAAAGCCTGTTGGCATGCACCACTTTTGGCTTACCTCGCCAACCACATTTTATCCGAAAAGTCACGTCTGAGAGACGATCCACTATGTTGTATGGGCCTTCCCATGGAGAAGACAACTTAGGAGACTTCCCTTTGGTCTTCCTGGGATTATTAAACCATACCTTGTCTCCTGCTACAAAATTGACTTCAGTAGATCTCTTATTAAAAGTTAACTTCATCAAATCAGCAGACGTTTTCAAGTTTGGACTCACTTCATGGTGAATATCATCCATTCTTTCCGCTGACACTTGCAC